TTAAATTTTAAGTAATATGCATCAATAAACAATACTTCGTGCATAAAAAATTGTTTTTAAGAGTTTTTGTCAAATGTTTTATAATATAGTATAGATTATGTGTTTTAAAAAAAAACAATAATGATTTTATTTTTGAATAAATATATAAATTTGAAGATATCATAAAAATTTTAAAAAATATATATCAATGTTAATGTCAAATCAACTATTTAAAAGTTTTCATTTTTATGTAATTTCTTTAATTTATTTTTTTATTATAATAAATAACAATTACTATTAATCAGGATTATAATTGAAAAAAAATGTTTAAAAACTCTTAAAATGGAACTCCAACTAATGTTTCAATAAACTAACTTATAATGTTCATCTGTACTTAAAAAATAAGCTAACTTATATGTGTCTTAATAGTTTGGATTGGTGAAATAATTATACAAATGTTTCAAAATGCCCCTCATCAACTTCTTCACGTTCTTTACATTAATCACAATTTTGCCTATGTTTACGTATTTTTATTATTAAAATCTTGACTATTGTAAAATCTCGTCTAATGGCTGAATTTTTTTCTCACGTTCTCAACATTTTGGGCTAAACATGTAAATGTTAAAAATCAATCTGACTCTTCCATCTGACAGACTTGATTAATATTTGATTTTATAAAATCTCGATTTTTTTCTAATATAAAGTAATGATCATAATAAATGAAATCTCATCTTTTCCATAAATATTTTGATAATAGGGATTGAACCATGATCATCTTTCATAAATATTTTTATTATTTTATAATATAAAGTTTTTATTAAAAACTCTTAAAGAGCATCTCCATCAGCTTCTCCAAAATAGAGAAAATTGAATATTTTAAGTCAATATTTTGATTCTTTATTTTAGAGAAATTTGTAGGAGATGCTTTAAGAGCATCTTTAACAATTTCTTCAAAATAGAAAATCAAAAATTAAAATTCCAAAAAATAATTTATATTCATCTTCAAGAGCTTATCCATTTTAAAAATTACAATGTATATATATTAATAAAATATTCAAAACATTTTTTAAATAATATTTAATTTTTATAAATATAACCAAATAACAAAATTATATTATTAATATATAATTTAAAAATATCATAAATTTAAAATGTATAAATTATAATACCTGTCGTGTTTATAATTATATACATTATATATATATATATATATATATATATGGGAAGGGTTCAAACAAGAACCCCTGTGATTTACGAGAACACAAGAACAACCCAATAACCTCATATTGTGATAAAAAATAAAATTAAAAGATTTTTAAAATTTAAATTTAAATTTAAAAAGGTTTAAAAAAATTTAAAATTAAAAGGGTAATAATGGAAATGATATCATCAAATCTTTTAAACACGATCATTAT